ATATTGTATAATATGTGGTTATCTAGCATTACCCTTTAATAAAACAGTAGAATCGAGAAATTGCAATGACTATTGACTACTAAGAATTATTTAATGATTTAAAGATTTGGATCAAAATTGACGATTTTTAGTGCACGTTGGATTTAGTAACTGCTTCGAAACTTACAAATCAGATTACATCGTCACCGTTCATTTCATCAAGATTAAATCCCTTATCTATATATACACGTAAGCTTCGTTACTACTTTACTTATGCCAACAAATTTTGCTCTCAGAGGAAAAAAAATGTTTATTGAATCTGTGATTAGATTTTCTCAGTTAATCGGAGAATCAATCATTATCGCAACCGTCGTCGTCTACGCTCTCCGTCTCTTCCTCAGATTCGCTTCTTTCCTCGCGAGCCGACCTTGGCGTCGTTACCGTACATTCACGGTTCGCCGTCGCCGGAGATGGTGGAAAAACACGGCGGAGGAAAACAATTCGCCGCCGTATTGTTCGATTTGTCTATTAGACGCGGCGGAGGGAGAGAAGATGAGGCGGTTAACGGTGTGTCGTCACTGTTTTCACTCCGATTGTATCGATCCGTGGATTGGGAGACGGTCCACGTGTCCTCTTTGTAGAACTCAGATTCCGCCGGTGCCGCCGGGAAATCCGTTGATCGCGCTTTTTGTTCCTCCCGGAGTTATAGAGTTGTTTACTAAAGGAACGGTCGTCTCCGACACGTAGGAGTTAAAGCTCTGTTTCTTATAGTTAATTAATTTTGATTAGTTAAGACTTAAACTGAGTTTTATCAATTTAGTTTTTCTTTATTTCTAGGCGATTTATTTGGACAGTTGCAGTCGCGTATACTGAATGTATGTATAATAATGAATGTATTGTACTTGTTAGTTGTACTATCAGAACATTTAAAATGGAAAACATAAATTTTTCAAAGTTGACAAAATACTATTGGGTTGAGTACAAAAAACTTCTAATTATAAATTTATGACAGCTAATGAATATATACAAATGGTTTTCTTTTTTAACCTCGTAATACTCCATACAATTAAGCATTTGCGAAAAAAAACTCTCCTCTAAAAATATAGGAGAGCTATTCCGAAACCGAAAGACATATACGGTAAAAAATTTAACCACGTGTTCTTGTTCTTCTGCAAACCAATGCGGGTTATACTCTAAATCGAAATTCGTAAATGAGATTCTCATATTTTTAAAGTCTTCGAGTTCTACATCAAAATCTGGCCGTTATTGCGGGTTTGACACCAACTGGATTAGGTCCAGACACTCTGTCTCGGTTTTTTTCAAAAGAAGTTACAGAAAACAAAAACTTTTAATTCAAGACCACACAAAATTTGAATTCTAGATCATTTTCTTAAAATGGTTTCAAATCAAATTTAAATCGATGTAGAATTCATCAAATCTACTAAAATTATCCACCGAATAAAGTTAGATAATCAGTGTTAATTAGTGTCCAATAGTAGTACACTCGCACGGATTTTTTTTCTTCAACACTTCACAATTTTCTTACCCACTATATCTAACCCACCACCACCCAAGGAAGTTGCTTCAACTCTCCAACAAGTCTTATCAAACAATTGTATGGCGAACAATAAAAAAAAAGAGAGTAAAATATGTTATAACAACAAGTGGACGAGAGATCGAGGCTGAAGGCAAATTAAATTTAAGATATTTTACGTATTAAGAAAAACTAGTTATAATTCTATCTTCTTAAATAAATTTCATTACATATTAAGAAAATCCATAAAATGATAAAAGAAGAAGGAAAAAATTTAGCCTACGAAGTTATCACACCACTTGATATATTAAATGAAACGGCCCATGAAGTTGATAAATTATAAGTGGCGGTGATGTATTCACGAGTTCAACGTGTTTTCACGTGCCATAAATTATGAAATTCCTACTTGCAAAATTACATTTTCATTTCTTCTTCAAGCAACACTAACATATATAGATGCATTAGTATAAATGTAGAATGTTTATACGCATTACAATTCTCGTTAATCATTTTTTTTTTGGCCATAAATTTAGGAAAATAATATCAGAGATTTGATGATATATAAGTATATATAGTACCTGTGCAATTTTGGTAATCCATTAGAAACATTTCTAATATGTTGCCTATTTCATGAAGATTTGATAATCAGAATAATCCTACTCTTAACTATTTCGAATCAGAAAATAATTTATTTCCCTTTGTTACGCTCATGATTCATAACTTTTTCTGGTACCGCTCATTGATTATAGAGATACATCCTCTACATAGTGAAAAATGGATCAC